TCACACCATTGGACACCCAGGCTCCCCATGGCTGGTTCTTCTGCCATTGGCAACACATGGTTGCCATCTCATGACCCAATGTGGCTGCTTCAGTTCTTACCATCACATCTGCATTCCAGCCGGCTGGAAGTGGACAAGTGGACATGGGGGATACACCTTTTCCCTTTCAGATGTGGAAGCTGCCCACTTCAATCAGCTAGGATTTAAGTCACTTAGTCACACCTAGCTGCAGGTGAGGCTGCAATGTGTTTTTAGGGAGGCCACATGCCCCAATAAAACTTAAGGGTTCTGTTACTCAAGGAAGAAGGGAAGAATGGAGAATGGACAGCAAATTCTGCCCACAGGAGACAACAAACACAAGGTCTGACTTGACGAATCGCCTCTCAAATCTGGGGCCCAGGGAGATGGGAGAAAAGCCTCGTAAATGGAAATCCAGGAGTGCATAGCACGCCCACTACCCTTCTTACTGTTTATAGGATGAAACAGAGCCTGGGAAATGTGGGTTTGAGACAGCAGTAATAAGATGAGCATGGAGAGTTAAGAGTGTTCCTGCTTCCCCTCACACCCTCAGCTGTGGGTAGAATTGTGTCCCCCTAAAAGAGATGTTGAATCTTAAACTCTGGTACCCCAGAATGTGACCTTATTTGGTAATAGGGTCTTTGCATGTATAATCAAGTTAAAATGAAGTCTTACGGAATTATGCTGGGCCTTGATCCAATGGCTGGTGTCCTTATAAGAGGAGGGAAATTTGGACACAGACACATGGGGGAGAAGGCCAGGCAAAGATGGAGGCAGAAGTTGCAGTGAGGCAGCTATGAGTCAGGCGACGCCCAGGCTTGCTGGCAGCCACCAGAAGCTACAAGAGGCAAAAGGGGATTCTTCACCCAGAGCCTTCAGAGGGAGCATGATCCTGCCAACACCTTGATTTTGGACTTCTAGCCTCTAGAACTGAATAATTTTCTGTTTGTGGTGATTTGTTATGGAAGGTTTAGCAAACTAATATACCATCTCCCTCTTCCGGTTCCTTAGGGTACATTCTCATGAATGTACCATAAAGCACAGACATCTAAAAGTGCCCTCTCTCTTAAACCTTCTGTCCATCCTTAAAATTACCTCATTATAAATGCTGCACCCCAATGGTAGGGTGAGCCAAACCATGACCAAAAGGTCAGGCACAGGCCAGATCAGGGTCTGAACGTGAAAAGAGAGCTGGAGGGGGAGGTGTACAGTGACATGGAGGTGACACCAGTGGAATCAGCCTGAGTAGGGCTGAACCTGTGGAAGAAAGGCCAGGCAGGACATGCCCACAGTGACCAAAGGCAAGTGGGTCCAAGATCCAGGCTGTCAACAGAAGCAGGACCACACAAAGACCAAAGCCAGGAGACCTGGGACTAGTCCGAGCTCCATACTCCATGACACCCCTTACGCTGGAGGAGCCCTTTCAGTTTCCAAATCTTTTCACATACAGCCGCTCATCTGAGCTTCAAAACCAGTGTGCAGGAACTGAGTAGAGCAGTAATATAATCTGCGTTTGATTCACAGGCAAACAGAGATGTTAAATCATTTGCTCTGTGTGACTGATGGTGAGCAGTGAGTGTGGGGAAAAGAAAGTGAACTTGGGAGACTGGTAGACTGGGTTAGAATCAGCACAGAAAGCTCTCTGATTTCTATGCAGCTGTATTTTTTCTTTGTTGTCACTACAACATAACATTTGGAGAGCACCTCTTAGAGTGTTGGCATATTTATTGATGGGTCATTTCCTTCCTTCCTTTTTAATTTATTTTTTCCAGCTCCAAATTCCGTGCAGTGTTGCACAATTCACCTCTCTAGAAGTCAGTTTCTTCATCCATTTTATCAAAGGATTGGGCTAAACCATTCCTAGGGTCTCTTCAAGTTTTTGCAAGTCAGGGCAACTTGCAAACTCTGTCCACACCTGTTGTACCTTAAACTGCCGTCAGGGGGCGCCTCGCACCGCTTATGCCTTGGATGGAGCACAAAAGCTCTGCATAAACGCTGAAGCTGCAAAGCTCTGCCTAGGGCTCCCCAGAGGTCGATGAGAGCCAGACGTCCCAGTCACCCTCATTCCCCTTCTAAAGGCAAGAGAGGAGAGAAAGGGTTATTCTCCGTTTATTTTATAGATGAGGAAACTGAGGAATGCATTCTGATTTTCCTTAATCCCATAATAGGATGAGCTATGAAAGAGTCGATGGCCTTATGGAGTTTCTGCTCATCAGACAGTTGAGCATCATACTTCAACTGCTCACTAATTGGCCTAAGGCAGACTATCCGCAGGGCGTTTGGCAGGGGGCTGGGGCGGGCTTTAGCAGATCTGTACCCCCATTGCCGGCTCCCATTTTTTCCCGGGACAGACACACAGACAAAGACATACTCCCTCTGCCAAGGGGGTCTGAGAGGGAGCCTGGATCTCTGGCTTTTAGGATGGAACCATGAAGGACACTGTTTCCATGGCCTTCACCTGTGGCCCCAGGACGACAGGGAGAAGGTGCTCAACTCTGTAAGGGTTGAGGAATGAAGCTGGTGTGGAATGATAGCCCCGTGAACCCCCACAAGGACCACAGCCTGCACTTACCATCATTCCCCAGAAGAATCTACCACGAGGAGAGTCCTAGGAAAGTCTGTTATCAACCTCCCCCTCCCCCTAATTCTGCCTGCCCCTCAGCAGTCCCACCTGATGCAGAAGGAAGGTTCCCTCTGAAAAACCCAGTCAACCCTCATCCCCTGTCCTCCAGCTCAGCGCTCTCCCCCTCCCACCCCCTCACTTCTACCCACGCCCAGGCAGGGCCAGCTGTTCCGCGGGCCCTTTTGTTCTCACTGGTCTGTAAGTCTTCACACCCTTAGGCTCAGAGGATGGTTGTTTGTCTTCCACAGTTCAAGTGCTCAGGCCCCGTGCTAGTGCTAGCTCTAGCGAGAGCAGCCCGCTTGCCATCCAAGGATGTAAATCTCCCTCAGCCTGACACCTGGCCACAAGTTGCTGGAGAAATGACCAGAGCAGCTGGCTGCCTCTCCATCAGATGCACCGGTGACAATTTGCAGATGGAGTCCACAGCCCCGGTGCAAGTCTAAACACTCCAGAGGAGACCGACAGCTGGCACACGGGCGCACGTCGAGCAAGACTCAAGCCTTATGAGCCTCTGGATAGCGTTCAAGGACAGTTCTACAAACCAGAGTGCCCTTCCTCCCCAAAATCATTCTTCTCCCCTGCCTAGCACTGACTGGGCAACTTCCCTCGGCGATGCTGGAAAAATATCCAGAGATGGGGAGAGGGCAGAGGCCCTCTTACGTGTCCCCAGGCTAACGCAAGACTTCCCTCTCCCCTAAGGGTTCAACAGTTGAGTCCTTGCCAAGAAACTTTCCATACCTCAGACACCAGAGATCTCACACTGCTCTGGGTTGAAAAGGAGAAAGTCATCTTTGGTATGCAAACATCCTAAGAAATAAAACCTGGACCCCTGGGCAAAAGAAAGCAGCTGAGGCCAGGTCCAATTCACAGGGAACACCCATATGTGGAAATCCACCGAGCTTATCCTCAGGGCAGATCAGAGTTTTATATCCCTGGAGCCCCTGAATTTAGCCAATGCATTGTATGCTGCTGTCATCCAGCGCGTTAAACTTTTGATGATTTACTGGCTATCCTGTAAATCAGCCCGGACAATGGTCTCTGCTCATGGAGTTTAAATAAGAACCCACAAAATGACCCGGGGATTTCCGTAGCAATTTTCTTTCCATAGGAAAGTGCCTGATAAAGCTCATAAAAATTGAAATAAGGGAAAAAAATTATCAACGAGCTCAAACTTGTAACTCCAGTTTTACTTCAAGAGGATAATATAGATTCCTGCCTCCCAGGAAAGGGAGTGGGAAGGTAGAGGCTATAGAAAGGATGGGAAATGTCAGAATATATTTATAACCCAAGACATCTGCCCAACACAAACAATGGTCTGCATGTCCAGACACACACACGTACAGCACCAAACAAAACTGGTTCCTGAATCCACCACCGGCTTATAGCACGAGACCTCCATATGCCCTGATCCCAGGCACAGCAGCCCCATCCTCCTGTGGACACACTGCTTAATCCTGTGGGTAGAATGGCTTCCAGGAATTTTGGAAAGGGTGGGGAGACAGGAGTGTCAAAGGCTCAAACTCCATCTCCTTCACCCAAACAGACTTCATTTTTCATTTCATGAGGATTAAGAAGAAAGATGCAAGGATTGGTCCAAATTTATTGCCTCGGTCAAAAGCCAGCTCTAAGAAGGGAGAAAGTGGATTATGCAAAGAAAACAAATGGAGAGAAAAGAGGGCAATGGATACTTTGCATTCAGTAATATTTATTAGTTTGATTTTAAAAGGAAAAGAAGGAATCCATTCTAATGGTTCACCTTCCCACGAACCCAGGAGCCCCCCAAAACTCTAAAGAAGTCCTTCTGACCCTGCTGTGAGGTAGATCAGAGCCATCCTGTGAGGGAGGCTGGAGCTTAGAGGGCTGTAGTGAGGGAACCAGGAACCAAACCCCAAACCTTGACCTTTTCAAGCTGCTGCTTCTCAGCCTGGGTCACCAGGGCCTCCAGTACACCGACTGGTTCATCAGGGTCTGGGTGGCAGAAGGAATGGAACGAGGGTGCTTTCTTTGCCCTAAGCACACAGCACTCAAGTGAGCAAGGGGATGGGTGCCCAGCCAAAGCCAGCCCGGCTGCTGCCAGGGCAGCCAGACACTCAAGCTGCAGAGGTAGTGGTGAAGCTCAGAGGTGGGGTTTAGAAAACATCTCTCGGAAGGAGAGAGAGAGAGAGAGAGAGAGAGAGAGAGAGAATGGTGAAAACCCACTTGGTAAGGATTCCCCCTCCCAAGCCAGACCCCCTCCCCCCTCTCATGACCCAGTGGTCAGGTTCCAGAGGGCAGAGTTTTCCAGCTGGGAAACTCCACAGGGCTCATTCCAAACTGGCCAGAGGCTCTCCAAAGGTTCTGGATCAATGGAGTTGTTTCTTCAAGGCCTAAGAAAGTCCCCAGGAAGCCCTGAAAAAAATGGAGATGAGGTATCTTGGGGTGAGGGGGCAGAGGGTGTGAACAGGAGAGGGAAATGGGTGAAGGTCAGGGACATTGAGGGGCACGTGCGGTTACACAAAAGCCTCGGGAACACACCCTGCCACAAAGCCAACCCAGCTTCAACTCGGCCCGGTTCCTACCTGGGAAGAATTCGCACTCACACGTTCCTGAGCCTGTCTCGCCTTCATCCCAGAAGTGGATTCTCACCTTCATAGCTATCAAACCTTTCAAAGAAACCAAAGCTGAGCCCGAAGGCTTTGGGGGACCTCTAGTCTAGTCAAAGCCAGCCCAAGAGGTGGCAAGAAATCTGGCCAAAGAAACTGAGTTAGAACACCAAAACTAGAGCTGACCAGGCGAGGGGGGCCCTCGGGCACAGTGGGACCCACCCCATCCCGGGCCCCCCCTTGCTCCTGGGGTGGAGAACAACCGGCCCGCCCTCCTTTGCTTCAACCCCAGGGCAGGGTGGGTTGGGATGCGGGAAAAGAAAGGGCCCTGGGTTCCACTTCGGTTCCCTACTCCGTGTCCCCCTTCCCTTGATGTGGAGACCCCAGCCCCATCTTCTACCGAACCCCAAGCTCAAAAAACTGACAGAAGGGGCTTCCCTGGTGGCGCAGTGGTTGAGAATCCGCCTGCCGATGCAGGGGAAGCGGGTTCGTGCCCCGGTCCAGGAAGATCCCACATGCCGCGGAGCGGCTGGGCCCGTGAGCCATGGCCGCTGAGCCTGCGCGTCCGGAGCCTGTGCTCCGCAACGGGAGAGGCCACAACAGTGAGAGGCCCACGTACCGCAAAAAAAAAAAAAAAAAAAAAAGGACCGAAGGAGATACCGAACGCTTCCTGGTCCCGAGCCGTCAACCCCTTCGCCTTGGCTACCTACCAGTCGAGTGGTGGGCGCTGCCTAGATTCTGCTGGGCTGATTAGGGCCGCAGGGGCGGGGAGGCGGCGGCAGGGTGCTCGTCGGGCCGGCAGCGGCCCAGCAGGCAGCAGAAGGCGCTGCGAAAGTCAGGGCTGTGGCAGTGGATGAGCGGGTTGTAGGCAGAGTTGGCATAGCCTAGACAGTTAAGGGCGAGGAAAGCCGGGCCGGGCACTTGAGAGGGAGCCCCGAGGGCGCGCAGCACGTTGACTACAAAGAAGGGCAACCAGCAGAGAGTGAAGGTTCCCATGATGAGCCCCAAGGTGAGCAGGGCGCGGTGCTCCCGCAGAGGCAGAAGGCGCGCCGGCCGCCGGCCGTAGGAGGGCACCCCTGCGGGCCAGGCGCACGGCCCCGCTGGGTCGGGGCACAGGGAGCAAGACCGAGCCCGCGGAGACTCCTCTGGCGGGAAGCGGCCCAGCTCCCGGAGCAGCAAGCGCAGCTGGCGCGTAGCCACCGCGAAAACTAGCGCGTAGACGAAGGGCATCACCAGGAGCGGAAGGTAGAAGGAGACGGAGGAGGAAAGCGGCGCGTAGGGCATGTTGGAGGCGAAGACGCAGCAGCGCGGATTGCAGGGGCAACGCTGCGCCTCGGCGTCGGCCCCGACGCGCCACCATTTGCTCATGATGGGCGCAAACGACACCAAGGCGGACACGACCCACACCGGGACCACTGCTGCCCGGGCTCGGCGTTTGGTGACCAGTGCGCCGTAGCGCAGCGGGCCTGTCACTGCCAGGTAGCGGTCCACCGCCAGGGCGCACAGGGTTTCCATGCTGGCGGTCACACACAGCACGCCCACCGAGGTCCACAGCTCGCAACCGGTGGCGCCCAGGGGCCAGCGCCAACGTGGCCCCCCACGGCACTACCAAGAACCCCACCACCAGGTCGGCTGTGGCCAGCGAAGTCACGAACACGTCGGTCATGGTCTGGAGTCTCGGCGTCCGGGCGACGGCCACGATTACCAGTAGGTTGCCCCCCACGGTGGTCAGCACCGCCAGCGCCAACAGCGCCCTGCCAAGTGCCACCGCCCACGGCACCCCGGGCAGCCCGCTCGCGTTGGCAGTATTGGGCGCCCGGGTGGGGACATTTGGCCACGGGGCCAGAGGGCTGTTCCCGTGCGGCCAGGGAGCCATTCCCGCGCGCGGGGCGGGAGGGAAGGAGGGAAGGGGTTAGCAATCAGAGTTTCAAACATGAGGAGGCATAAAGCTAACTTGGATCTTGCAGGGGAAAATTTCAAGAGCACGCATTTTATTCAGGATCCTAGGTCCCTGACTTATAATAGTTTTAACTAAATTATCTTGCCCAATTTCTTAAGTACATTTCTTGGGTATCTGGGGAGAAGCAGGGGCAGGGAAGGAAAGAGGGAAGGGTCTCGCAGCTTACCCGGCTCGGGGGACGGGGCAGCGGGTCGTGGGAGCGATTCCCCCGGCCTGGGCCATCCTCCCCAGTTGACCCGCGAGAACGCACAGCCTGCCCCGCGGCCGCTGGGTGCCACCACTGGGGAGGGGGTGGGACGGCGTGGGAGGAGGAGTGGCGGCCCTTAAAGGGGCAGCGGCCAATAGTCGCGACGCTCGGCGTCGGTAGGGAAATTGGGGCGTGCGTAGGGAAGCGCGACGGATGGTTGACTCCTCCATTAGCCAAATCCGGAGTAAGATGTGTAAGAGGTAGGTCACGCCGTGTGTTCTCTGCCACGTTGTGTCCGCTCCTGCCAAGACCGGCTCCTACGCTGACACACTCAGCGCAGCGCTCCAGCGGCGTGGGTTTTCTGCACCAATTTCCCCGGAAGGTCCAGCAGCAACTCTCGGGGAAGACACAGGAGAAGCCCCCAACCCTTTACCGTGTCAGAGGAAAAGGTAACCCTCCCAAGGCAAACAAGACGACCCACAGCAGCCCCTCGTCTACTTGGGTGTCCCTCCCCCTAAGATATTGTAAGTTAAGTCATAGAGGGCAGCCAGGGTCTTCCCCCTTCTCCCAAGACCCCCTTCCAATGAGATCTGACCCCCTTCCCTTCTATCCACTTACCCTCCCTGTCACTCTAGTTTCCCTTCTTTTTTTTTTTTTTTTTCCTTTTCAAATCTTCCATTTTCCAGGGGTCTTTATCATTGCCTGCTCATTTGAATTTGGATTTGGCCTCAGGTAGCCTAAGATGCTGAGAGTTTCCATTTCTCCGTCTTCCACGTTGCCCCCTCCACACACTTTCCACCAAGAAAACTAGGTGAGCCCCTTCTCTTAAAATGCTCCTGTTGTAGAGACGTGTTAAAAATGAACAAATGGGTTCCAGGTTGAGGCTTATCCACCGTCACCCCCAGCTCTCCACAAATCTTCCATCACCATGGCAGTCTTCTCTCTACTTCCGTGAAGACTTTACTCATGAACATTTAAAAAGTAGAAGACACTGAGCTGAGGAATCCCCTGAAGATTTTACTCATGAACATTTAAAAAGTAGAAGACACTGAGCCGAGGAATCCGCACGTTGCGTCTTGGAGTGTGTGGAACCACAGGCCTGGTATTTTAGTGTCCGTTGAAGTCTCTCTTACAATCCCATCAGAGGATCCCTTCACCTCAAGAAGCCCAGGGCCTCCTCCCCTCCCCTTTCCCTCACCCACACTGATGCCTTGTTCCCAGCCCGGCTCTCCCGGTGGCTAAACCAGTTCCTCTCAAAGTGGGTGTGGGGAGATTAGGCTGCAAAACAGTGTTCAAGCTGAAGGGCAGGAAGGTATGACACCTTTATTAAGTCCTTCCTCCCCTGAAACAATGGGACAAAAGGGGAGGAAATTATCATAGAAAATGACTCCCGGGCCTTGCCTTAGCGAGAGTCTTTTTTTTTTTTTAACATCTTTATTGGGGTATAATTGTTTTACAATGGTGTGTTAGTTTCTGCTTTATAACAAAGTGAATCAGCTATACATATACATATGTTCCCATATCTCTTCCCTCTTGCATCTCCCTCCCTCCCACCCTCCCTATCCCACCCCTCCAGGCGGTCACAAAGCGCGGAGCTGATCTCCCTGTGCTATGCGGCTGCTTCCCACTAGCTATCTACCTTAAGTTTGGTAGTGAGAGTCTTTTGAACAGCTCTATATTTCAAAAGAACCCTGTAAAGTCACTGGTCTAAGCAATGCCTCTGGGGGGCTGAGCCAGGACCTGGGAGTTAGAGAGACTGGAGGGGAAGTGAGGACCGAAAATTATCCCCAAGGAAAAAGAACCCAGCTGCCTACCCACGAGCAGGGTTGGTCAGTGGCTCCCAAGCAAATGCCTTTTGTGCCCATGCTGTACCCCAGGCAGGCCTTTGGATCCATGGAAGTGCATGGTGGGTAAAGGTGGAGAGGCCCGGCCTCTACCCCCAACCTCCAGTCACTACCAAGCTTTGCAGGCCCCACCTGGCCAGAGTCTTGACCGTGGCCGCTTGCTGACCATCAGGGCAGTCACTCCCAAGTTGGGTTTTGCAACACCCCAGAGAGTGTTGCCAGTTACCACAAAGGGGTGACAGAAGATTCTCCAAGAGTAATCTCTAAAACAAATCCATGTCGTGCAGCAGGGTTTTTTGTTTTTTGTTTTTTCCAGGATGTCAGAGTTGGTGGGGGGAAGGGAGAGGGGTGCCAGGAAGTCAAGCGGCTTCAAAGGCTGCTGTTGCCCTGGGGTGACCTTGTTAATTTGAGGAAGTGTGTAAAAATGTTTAAATTTCAAAAAAAGACAAGATTTCCCAAACCACGTGAGTGTGCCTACGTTTGGGGAATGATGAGGCCCATAACCAAAGGAGACTGTGAGGAGAGGAATTCAGGCCCCTGTTAGTGGAGGCATTTAGGAGCCAGCAGAGAGCAGTGATCCAGCACCTGGAGAGCTTCCTCCTTTGCTCTGGACCATCCCCTATCCCACCTTTCTCAGTCTGGCCTCCCCACCTCACCGACTACCTTGGGGCCCACAGGGAGAAGGGGTCCAACCTTTACCACTTTGGTCTCTTTTTTTTTTTTTTTTTTTTTTTTTTGCGGTACGCGGGCCTCTCACTGTTGTGGCCTCTCCCGTTGTGGAGCACAGGCTCCGGACACGCATACTCAGCGGCCATGGCTCACGTGCCCAGCCACTCCATGGCATGTGGGATCTCCCCGGACCGGGGCACAAACCCACGTCCCCCGCATCAACAGGCGGACTCTCAACCACTGAGCCACCAGGGAAGCCACAGTCTCTTTTCTATCGTGCTTTTGTGTTTCTTACTTTTCTCTTTTGACTAGGTGATGCATCCACGTTATTCAGCCATCAAAATATACAAAATGCATGTAATACAAAGTTGCCTTCAGCCCGGTTTTCAACTCCCTAACAGATAACCACAATTAATTAGTCTCTTGTTTATCTTTCCAGTAATATTTTATATATAAACAGGTCAATGCAAATACATATGGCTTTGTCGTTTCTTTTCGACCCAAATAGTAGTAAAATATACCCACTGTCCTGAACCTTGCTTACCTTACCTTAACAATATATATCTGTGACGCTTCCATACCAATGCACAAAAGCCTGCCATTTTTAGTATTCCATTGTATGGATATACCATAATCTATGAAACCGATCGGCTATTAATAGACATCTAATTTACTTCCAATCGTTCCTAGTAGATGATGTTGTAATGAATCACTTGTAATCATGTCATTTCACACGTCTGTGAGTATATTTGTAGAATAAATTCCTGTAAACAGAATCACTATATCATGCGGTATATAGTTTGCAAATTTAAAAGATATTGCCAGATTTCCCTCTCCAGGCAATGTACCCACTTACCCTCTTGCCATTGCTTCTGATGGCCAGCCAGGGGTGGGAGGCAAGTGTCCCGCTGCTTTGTGAAATCATCCAAATGACTGGCCCCAGGGAGTTAGGCTGTCGGGTCTGTAGAGGTCATCCAACTGTGGAGAGAAGCGTGCATTGCCCAGAGGGAGCTTTACCCTGGCCCTGGGCCCCCAGATGACCTTTGTTCTGTGCCCTTGGAGGTAGACTGTGCATGTGGACCTCTGAATCTGCTGAGTTCAGGCCCCTAGGCTGCTGCTATGTGTTGAGGGCTCCAAGGATGCAGGTCATCCTGTTGTGTCAGAGGCCAGTTGTGTGATGGTCTGTGATTTAGAAAATGTGGTGAGCAGAACCAGAAAGAGGCAGAAGCTGCCCTGCCCCGTGGGCAGAAGTTCTAGGAGCAGGGTGTGCTCTCCTTCCTTTGTTGGTTTTAGCTCCTGGTCTGTCCTCTGAGCCTCAGGACCGGGTCCATGCATGTGCGTGTGGCTGTGTGCCTGTTTATGTGACGGGGTAGGAGGAAGCCTAGCTCAGGCGACTGAGCCCTGTACTTTGTCCAAGACTACGTGTGTTCAAGCGTGCCCCTCTCATCCTGTGTCTCTTCTTCCACTGTAAGCGTCCATGCCATGCCGTGTTTGAAACGCTGTGCGTAGGTGTGGCCTCTGAACAGCTGGCTTGGTGTTCGCTGTTTCTCCTTTTGTTGCAATTAGTCCAGGAGGGTAGAATGATAAGCTAAAAGGGGTCTGAAAGATCAACTCCAACACCAACATTTTACAGAATTAAAAAGCTGAGGTCCGGAGAGGAAACTGAGGTTGGACCATAATCTCACAGTGAAAGTTCCTTCCCAGCAGGAGTACAGGCATCTGAGGAGCCAGGTCCTCTTCCCAAGCGCCTCCCCCACACTCCCTGGCAGTCTGTGGCCGGTGCCACCTGCCAGCCTGTCCTCTGGAGGGGAGGCAGGGCTCAGAAAGGACAACCGCCCAGCCCCCAGAGCTGAAAAGAAGCCCCCAACCTAACACTTTCCTCGTATTCTACCACATGCCATGGCTACTCTCCACATGTCTGCTGTTTCCCAAGGCAAGGAGCTCGAAGGAGAGGCAGGGAAGGAGCCTCCATCTGCAGGAACCTAAAGGTCCTCTTGTACCTAAGAAGTGGCCGGGGACAAGAGCCTTATTCAGGCAGAGACAGGGGTGGACACTAAGGATTTTCTCACAGTGCCTTTTCTCTTGTTCCTGGTCATCCATGAAAGAGGGGATCAGAAATGTTTCTTTCCCTCCTGCGGTAGGAAGAGAAATCCACGTTCTAAACTCTTTGAATAGTGATTAAAATCCTTGACTATTAGGCTGCTCCCCAGGGACAG